TCCTTCCTTCCTTCTTCCTTTCCTTCATTCCTTCCTCCTTTCTTTTTTTTTCTTCTTGTCTTTCCTTCTATTCATTTTTTTTTTCCTAACTTTCTGTCATTCTTTTGCTGATTGCTTACTTTAATCTCTGCTATTTTTTACTGTGAAAATATGTATGTTAAATAAACATAAAAGTATGTCTGAACAAAAATTCAAGATATTGAATATTTAATTTATTAAATAACAAATAAAATAACTCTTTCATATTAGAACAAGAGCCGAAATCTTTGGAAAACAATTTTTATATGTATGTGATTGTTTTATGTCTTGGCTTGTTAATTTTAATTTCATTTTCTATTATTAGATTTGACTTTATAATCTCACATAGTAAGTATGTTTGAAGAACTACAAGATTTTTGTACTATACGTGCGCGTATTCTACGTATATACTACTCTTTTTTTTAAAATAAAAACCAGGATGGATTCTTAAGCATTAAACGCTCGCACCATGGAGTTTTATTAACCACTTTATTGATAGTGTTATTTTTGACAGCTATTGTAAATGCTTTACGTATGAATTCCCGAGGGCGGTGCGGCAACGTCTTTTACATGAGATTACAAAATATGCAAATGAGCGCGGTTTTGGAGCTGGGAAAGCATACTTTTACGCGACATTCGCGTATTCGCTCGTACGAGATTATGTCTGTTCACGTCTGTGCACGTACGTTAAAGAAACGAGGGAGAGTGTGAATGAGAGTGAGCAAGAGGAAAAGAGCGGTGAGAGGAGAAGGCAGAGATGAGCGAGAGGCTTAGAAAGAGGGAGAGAGAGAGAGAGAGAGAGAGAGAGAGAGAGAGAGAGAGAGAGAGAGAGAGAGAGAGAGAGAGAGAGAGAGAGAGAGAGAGAGAGAGAGAGAGAGAATAAGAGGAGAGAGGAGAGGAAGAGAGAGAGAGAATCCAATATAACTGCACACACGTTTATAGGGTCGATGGGAATATATTGGAGCGGATATTGAAATACTTGTTGGTAGTTTGAGTTGAAGGCGAGAGATGCCTTTCTCGATGCCATCTTGATTGCGCAATCGAGGCACCAAGATGCGGCCCCCGCTACAGAATTTGACGATAAAGATCGCGCTCGGATTATGGGAGATCGCTCCTTCCCCTCTGTAAACGATAATGGCGATCGCTGAACTATCCGTTTCGCGACTTCGTCTTGGAAGTTTTGACATTGTCTTTGAAACACCGTTGCACAATGTTTCCGTTATTAAAACTGATAACAAATATTATATAGCCCATTAAATCATGCTTATCATGTGATGCTTTCAAGTCCCGCACAGTCTTGATATCGTTTTGGAAAAGTTTTACGGTGCTCTCGCCACTAAAATTGGTAATTATTGAGAGGGAAAGAGGAAGAATTTAAATATTTCAAAAAATTTTATTAGTGAATTCTAGCAATTGATTTGGTTTTAAGCGTTAAGAAAAAGCACAATACACAAAAATTTAAAGGCTAAGTGAGCGTGAAATCGGAAATTAATAACTAAAAACAGAGCAGCAGTTAAATCTCAATTTATTTTAATTAATGCTTATGGAGA